GGAGAGCGGGGCGCTCGTCGCGGTGCAGGTTTCCCCACGGCCGGCCCAGAGGTCTCGCAGCCCGACGCGGGCTGGCGGCTCTCCCTGGCCAATCTGCCAAACAGCTGCTCCTCCGCTCTCACGGCGAAAGAGGCCTCAAAACACGCATGCGACCTCCCGTTTGCCCGAGATGGTGTTCCAGTATCTACGGCTCCGGGCTGTTTTTTCTGAGCTGTATTTAAGAGGCCCGGAGGGAGGTGGCATCCAACCCCAGCCCAGCAGGATGGGCGCCCAAAAGGGCAGTAACTCTAAATACCTGCTGAGGTGGATTTTATTTTTCAGGTGATTTCTACTACTGTAAAATCACTTAATAAGCGGTCTGTGTCCTGATGAATTATCATCATTAAAATACCTACTTTGCACGGCTGCCTGGAGGCTGAATGACTTGCTGCTTGAACGCGCTTCAGGAGAAAAGCGCTATAAAAGCCCAGAGTACCACTGCTACTGACGGTATTTTTATCATTGACAGAGGATGTATCGAACTGCACTTAAAACCACTTGTGAGGAGGAACGTGGGTTGTAATTATTATTTTTAAAGCAGAATAAAGCACAACCACAGGCTGCAACAACCGGCAACGCGAGCTGCTACAGGCGGTACGGCGTCAGGCAGGGAGCGAGGCAGAGGCGACGGGCTCCGAGGCCCCTTCTCCTCCGCTCCGCTCTGCCCCGCGCGCGCGGCAGGGCTCAGCGGCCAAGAGGGGGGGAGACAGAGCGGACGCGGGCCGAGAGCCTCCCCCAGGAGTCTCTGCCGAGACAACTGGACGCTTTCTTTTTATTTTAATGAGCTTACTCACACCACTGTCACCGTTAAAAATAAAGCCAGCGCTGGTCCACGCCGCGCGCAGGGACTACCGATACCAAGGCCAGCAGGAGTTAAAACCCCAAAGCCATTGCACCGTCTTCTTCCGCGGCAGGAGAAGAAAATAAAACCTGTTTTCTTCGCAATACCAGGACTCAAATGCCAGGTGGACGAGGTTACTGCAACCCAAAAGACGGGAGCATTCATTCATGCTGATGCATACATCAAATTACAGGCAAAATTCTCTGATTTCTTAGGCGGAAAATACCTGGCAGCTTCCAC